GGGAAACACTTCCAAACCTTTTGTGCACAAAGGTCACGGCTATCTCTCCGCTGTGGACCGCTCAGATCAGATGACAGCCACACCGACGTGAACACCGTCATCTTTGTGCACAAACATTCTCCGAGGACGTATGCAGGGCTCATTTGATCCTGCTGCTCTAAAGGCCCTCCTGGCTCATAGTTTACCATCCATGCACAAAACTAATCTCTATCTGCATGTGTTTGTATGATCAAGGCCTTGTGATCAGGAGTGATAGGCGCTCATCAGTCAAACGGCTGTGTGCTGTTGCAGCAGACTGGGATATTTTCTTCTCACTGATGCACAATATTGGACTTGAGTTAATCAATCTGTCAGTTCTTCCGCTTGACTACACACGTGATGAGTGCGGCCATGGTTTGGATTTATTGAGTGAAGAAGGGCTTTCACTGAAGGAAGGGATCTATCTAGACTGAATGCTTCAGTAGCTTTGCCGACAAGCACAGATACCAAAGTGGGAAAATCACACCACCCACCAGCTCAGGGCTGGTAAATTTTGTGATAATGAGGCTGCTGATGGTTTCGACTATCGGCCATCAGCTCGGCAGCTAATTGTTGTCTTCTGTTTAAAAATTATCAAACTAAATGGTTAAGCAATGGATGTGTCCATTAAGCGATGGATGTGATGTATGGGGAAACTATCCCTGACACTCCATCATATGGATGAAAACATGGCAGCACTGCTATTCAGGGTAAATGTTTCATCTAGAAGTGCATCCAGTGAAAGTTTTATTTAAAACAAAAATGGCCGCGTGTGAAACTTTTTCAAAGCTATGCAGGTTAGAGCCATTACAATTAGTCAGTGAATCAATTGGTCAATCCACAAAATTAACTATTTTTATAGTCGATTAATTGTTTTTAAGTTTTGAGATGTGAGAATTTACTGCTTTTCTTAGTCTTACATAGTTGTGAAATGGTGCGAGAGACAGACATAAAACACTTTTTTTTGTCAAAATCGATCCAAGATGTCTTTTAGTCTCTAGTTATAGGTCATGCTCCGGAAATGCTGAACCATACATTTCCAATAATGCAAATCAATGGCATCTTTCATCAGACCTTCACTGTCTGTTAACCCCCAAACCTTCAGTTTGTTACACAGGCTTTCTGTTATAAATAAATACTAAGCCAAGAAGACAATATATTCTCACACTTGAGAATGCTCCTTCAGAGCCACTGAAGACTTTATGCAACTGTTTCCACGGGCTAATTAGTACTCTTCATGACTAGTAAACTAATTTTGAGGTATAAAATCAATGGAGTTCTCATTTAAGATGCTCTTTAAAGACCCACTGGGCTAGATGAGAGATTTCTGTGCCCCGATCATACAGTATGATGTTTCTCTAGAAACAATGTAACCATTTCCCTGGACAATTTTAATAGGTGCTAGTCCGTTAGTATCCTGTGATGGAAATTTGATATTAAAAAGTAAATTCAGATAGATAGATAGATAGATAGATAGATAGATAGATAATGAAGGCTGATTGCTGTGTTTTGTGGTGGATTTGTTGCCAACAGGAGAGCAAATTATGCAATAACTGAATTGAACATGACTGAATACAACATGATTGATAATATCGGCAAGCAGATTTATCGGTCAGACTCTAGTATACGTATTGTCTCATTCCCCGAGATATTGAGATATCCGTCACTGAAGTTTCTGCCACCAACTCAATACAATGGAGGTTTAGCAGGATTTTTTTTGTGCTTCTTACATTGAAAATTGACATTGTTGTCATTCTAGAGACAATGCCCCTCTACAGACTAGTAGACCATGGGAGCTACTATCTACTCAGAAATAGCACCTATGAAAATTATCCAGGTTAATGGGGACATTGTTTCTGGAGAGACATGTTGCTACTGAGTAAATCAGTAGCCATCTGCATGGCTCACTAAGGTTAACAGAAATTAATTTTCTGAGAGTAAGTTTTTTAGTGAGAAACACACGTTGAGTGATCATAGACTACAGTTCTCATTTCCAAGGATCCTAAAAGCTAATAACAAATCATCTCTACTCCACAACTTTCCATAGTGATAGCTAGTTTCATGTCTCTTTTGTGAGAGAGGTGACTTCTCTTTTTGTCCATCACAGATCATTTAGCTGTGTCAAAGAGCTGTCCAAGCTGTTATATCTGACAGAAACAATACATACCATAACTTGAAGGACCTATGAATCAAAATTCATTTACTACCATTGGATTAATGTCACTGCAGTTTGTCACCACACTGAGCATCCATCAATTTTCTATACAAAACGTGTTCCTAGTAATGGTCACATGGGCCAGAGATTATGCATTATGACCGCATGTATATGAGAACAAGCATTTTTTTAAGAAAACATTGATGACTCATAACTTTTAACAGAAGAGCTTTTTTTTCATGATGCCAGCATTTCAACAGAACAATTATTTTGTCCAGATGGTGACTTCCTCATTTTGGATGAAACCTTTTCACAGACTATGATCTCAAGGTCATTACCAGGCTGACTTCTTCTGTCGAGCCATTATCAGGCTTTTATCTTAGACCGGCATAAAACAACAACAGCAGCTTGGTCTCCTGCAGCAGCTGGCTGATTTTAAGCCAGTGGAAACATAACTCTATCTTTATTCTTCCATCCATTATGTGTCTCAAAACATGTTTACAAGATTTTTTAAAAGCACAACTAAGTCCTAAACCTTTAGAGCTGGATGATGAATTTAAAGATGACGTTGATTAATCGATTAGTCAATACGCAGAAATTTAAGCAGCAACAATTTTAATAATCGATGCCAACAACTTGGTGGTACCAGGTTTTCATATATGAGGATTTGCAGCTTATCTCTGTACTAAACTAAATATCTTTGGGTGTTGGGCTATTTGTCAGATCAAACAAGCTATTTAAAGACGTCACATTGGGTTTCAGGAATTTTTGAGGTACATTTTCAGTACTTTCTTACATTTTACAGACAAAATGATAAATCAAAAACCCCAAAAAATTCTCAAAGAATCATCAACAATGAAAGTATTAGTTAGTTGCTGCCCAAGGGGCCTTCATTAGTTTACACACAAGAAAATGATCATTGACAGTGTGGATATTATGATCAAATGGTAGAGGTGAACAGTGAACACTTTGCTGTAATAAAGCATTTAGTGGAAAAGCTAAATTACAATATCAAGATATCCAAAACCCCAGATAAAACAGTCTTCTATCTCAATACTGTCTTGAATTAAATTGACGGGGGATAAATTTGATATGAATAAATGGAATGAATGCAGATGCTTCCATACAGGACAGGCGAATTCACTGAACAGTTGTACAGCTGCAACTAACAAATAATTTTCTTATCCATTAATCTGCTGATAATTTTCACAAAGTGCAAGTTGTGGTATTGATGACATGTATTGTTTTGTCCTATCAAGAATCCAAAACCCAAAGATATTCAGTTTATATTTTTCAAGGAACTAAATTTGGAGAGACATGTTGCTATTGAGTTAATCAAATGTTATTTTTTAGAGCTTTAGATGTCTTATGTGACCGTAAAGTCAATATGTTTGGTTTGTATAACCAAAAAGGAGTAAATTAAAAGATGTCACGTTGCGCTTTAGGAAAACGTGGTGAGCATTTATTCCTACTTTCTGGAATTTTATTGACCAACGGTAAGAAAATAATCTGCAGTGTGATAGAAATTTGATATTTTACTGTGTTTACTGTTTCACCCTGCATGCTTCATTATTATAGACCAATGTTTGACTGTGTGGTTTTTGATCATTTTATTATGTTACAGCTAAGTGAAGTTTCCCACGGGAAAGATGCTCGTTAGAGAGTTTTCTTATCTGACCGTCCTTGATAGGCCTTCATCTCAGGACAGTTGGTCCCTACTCCCTTCCTCCCTAACATAGCTGAGTAATATAAAGTCACCTGTTTCTTCACTGGCGCTTGGTCTTACACTCTGCAGACTGTTTGTCTGTATGACCCTTTGAAAAGAATAAAACCCCGAAAAGACGTCTAGATGGTCTATAATAATGAAGCATGCAGGGTGAAACAATAAACACAGTAAAATATCAAATTTTCATCACAGCAGATAAATCAATAATCAAATAATACATTGTTAGTTGCAGCCCTACACTGAGGTAGTTCTGGAAGCTTGTGGTGCATAAAAAGCTTACAAAGACACCTTATTATTTTTACCTTAATGTGTCACCTATCTGTATACTCCCAGAAGACAGATAGATCCAGAAAATTGGGATGAATAAATATAGTATAAAATATATTCAAGCTTTGACTGGGGGTGCCTACGTTAAGCGAGTCTTATCTTCAAGTTGCAGCTTCCAGAAATGACTTCCTCCCTCCCAATCCCTCACTTTCTATCTTCATCTACAGTATACCCCTATTAGTGCTACAGTAAGAAAGGAGTGGAGAGGATGTTGCTTCACTACTAACACTGCCACAATCTGAACCAAACACACTGTCCAGGCTTGCTTCATCCAGTCTCCACGCTCAAAATGATCCTGAGGGGGAAAAAATCTAAGTTTGTGGAATATAACTACATAAATGATCTGCTCTGCATGTGGCAGCTGTATCAGAGCTGGAGAAGTGACAGTAGCCTACAGTAAAGACAGCCAACTCCGACCTCCATCTGACGACCATTCAATGGCAAAATGCTGCAAACAGACGCACAGAATCAGCTGTATTTCCCTCCAACTCTCCATTTAAGTCCCTGTATTATCATTCATTTCCCAATACAATGAGAAACCTGACCCTTATAATGATGCATTTAAAGCTACAATCAGTGAAAATAAACTGTATTTTTGCAATATCAAGGAGCGCGAACGGACTTTCATACAGCATTTACTCTCATCCATGCATCTTGGTAACCAACAGTCAAGTGTCAAATAACTATTGATCAGTTTAACATATATAAACATGTTCTTTGTATCTCTAACAGCAGCAGACAGTTTGGTAGGAACCAGCAGCAGTTTCTACTCACCTACAAGAAACCGTGAGTTCAACTTTGGTGGCAGGTATCGCAGCGGTGAAAGGGTCTGCGTCCCCTGTACACGCCATATTCATCGAGCTGCCGCTTGGTCGATCACAAATCGCCCCGTATCCAGCGCCTTAACGGCGACATGAGAGGAACCAACAGAAGAGAACAGGGGAAATAAACAGCAAGTCTTACAAGGAGAAGATAACAAGCCGTTTGTTTCTGGAAGCGAGAAGCACCGGAGAGAGAAACGCGGACGCGGAGCTGCAGCGCGCCGAAGTCGCGTCTTCAGTGCGCCTCGGTGCTCCGGAGGAGAGAGGACGGTGTGAGGGGAGGGAATAGAGACACACACGCACACACGCACACACACACACGAACACAGAGAGTGTACAGTAGCCTACGTATCGACATGTAAGGACCCAATAGCTTGACAAAGATGAAAGATCATTTCTCCTTTCTCTTTAGATGAGTGATGATTTAAATGAGTTTAGGGTTTTGGAGATGATATTGTTTGGGATTAAAATGGTCAAGTGTAGTTTAGTTTAGGGCTGGGTTATGAAATAATGAGTTAAAAATCAACTGAAAAACGCAGAGAAATATGTTAGATGTATACAGGATAAACATGCTAGTGGCTCTGTGAGGCTGGCACAGTTTAGCTCCATACGGTTTAGCATTCGGGTCACAGAGATGAGTTAAAGCGGTGAATCGTTGTTTTTGTTTTGTTTTTAAATATCGTCAATAGATATCGTCAATTTTTGAAAACCCTAGCAGGTCGTTGAAAAACGTACTGCTGTTCTGACAATACTCTTTAGTTTAAACATCTACATGAAAAAAACTGTCTTCCTTCACACAGTTACAAAATATGCTTTTAACCATTGAGTAAAGTGACCAGATTTCTGAAATGAAAACCAGGGACATTTTTGGTTTGGTGGTCAGTATGTCATTAAAAAATATAATGTTATTATATATGAAATGAGACAGAAACTATAGCTTTTAGTCAATAAGTAGGCCTAGAGGCTGCAGTCACTTTCTAGCAAGTGGAATACTGCATTTTATGTGTTGTTTTGGCCATTTAAAGGTATTTTAAGAGGTAAAAAGTACTAGGTGAGTTATAATCTATCAAAAATAACCCTCATGAACATAATGAAGTAATTTCAGGGCAGAATCTACCTTTCAGTCAAGTGACTGCAATCAGGTTTCTGGCAAGTAGAATACTGTATGTTATGTGTTGTTTGTTGAGAGGTAAAAAGTACTAGGTGAGTTATAATCTGTCAAATATAAACCTCATGAATATAATCAAGTCATTTCATGGAAGAAATAACCTTACTGCCAATAATTAGAGGCTTCAATCACTTTCAGGCAAATGGAATACTGCATTTTATGTGTTGTTTAGGCCATTTAAAGGTATTTTAACATGTAAAAAGGACTGGATTGGTTGGTACACAGCAAGTTAAATAATGTAGAGTAATAAGGATAATTTATATATAACTCAGCAGTAAGTCATGTTAATTATAGGATACATTCAGTTTTCTAAATCTAAAAAAGGATATTAGACGTATACGCCTAACAAACACATATTCCATCGGCAGCAACAGGCATCTATTATAGAGGGTTTGCGTTCATGTCACTTCCTCTTCCGGAACACGCTGGACTGAGTGTCAAAACATCTGTAACCATGGCTGCGTTTAGCAAACCGGGAGTAAAACAAGTGATTATTTGCTCAAATTAAAGGCAGTCAGACTCGACAGTGATCCAGCTCTTTCCCATTTTAGATGTGTTGTTTGTGTTTTAGCTGATTCAAGCTAACACTGCTGCTGCTCGTCTTTCTGCCACTCAGTGAGCGTAACTGCGTTCTGTGACGTCATGCGCATACCCTCTATAGCCTACAATCACGTAAAGGTCAGACCTGGTTATGCTATAAAAAACACTTGTTTGGCCACAATTGTGATTATTCTGTTAAAAGAATCACAAAGACATACCTTTGCGACATAAAGTGATGTTTATTTGCACGTTATGGCTGTTTGATCCAGATAATGCGTAAAGAAACTGGGCAGTAACGTTATATGCTGCGCATCAGTTTCTGGCCACATAAAATCTGATTTCAGGTCCGTTAACACCTTTTACAGTCTATGATTAACACACAGTTAAAAACGGGGATATTTCCGGGGACAGGCCACCAAAACCGGGGACTGTCCCCAGAAAACGGGGATGTCTGGTCACCCAACCGTTGAGGCTTCTATGCAGGTAACGGCCGGCGGCCATCTTTGTTTTAGTTCTAAAACAGGCACAACTTCAGAAACTTGCCTTATTTTAGCATGCTAGTGTGATAGCATTTGCTAATTAGCACTAAACACAAAGTATGCTACAGGTAAGGCCAGGGATGTACTGAGACTAAAAGTCAGCCCGGGACTTTGAGACGGAGAGGCCTTTTATGCGAGCGCCCTTTAGGCGGGCATAACTATTTTTTGCAGTTATTTTAATACGTATTAATGTTTTGTTGTATACAGTGAATCAGATTATACTGAAGACCTTCAATAAACATCAGGATGACACCTACCTCTTTAGTTTGTATAAGCAAGGCAGCTCTGCACTGAACAAGACCAGGTCAGGCAAGCCTGAGTCAGTCAGAGGGCTAAAATACTTAAATATACTCAAAAACTACAACACATTCCCATAAAATAAAGCAGTGTGTATGGGTTTGCATAAAAATCAAATTGCTCATCTTGATCTAGGCCTCTCCCCTGGCTCAGCTTCCCCTGGCTGCTTTTACTGATTGTACAGTTACAAATGCGAGAAGAACATCTGTAATAAATGTGACAATAATCCATTCTCTAATTCTAAAAACACACTGCTCCTTTACCTTTCACTGTTTTGTCTGGTTCCATTTACCTTCTCCTCCTGTTGCTCCTCCTGTTGCTCCTCCTGTCCCTTCTCTCCCTCCTCATCAACATCACTGGGGTCATCATCACCCTGTTTCTGTGCATCACCTCCACAGTTAATCTACATAAAAACATACAGAGATTCCTCAGTTAATTTGGCACATTTAGCTGCCTCTTATGCCAACACTTTTTTCTTCTTAAATCTTATTTTTTTCGGCATCACACATATCTTTTTCCTCTTTCACTCTCTTCTCGCCACAATGGTCAGTCCGTCCCTGGGTAAGGCTGATGGTTATGTCTTTATGTTTTACAGGTATTTGGTCATAAAACTAAAGTATTGGACACATTTAAATTTCGACCTGCTGGCACTAGATGGAAAAACAGAGGCTCATCAAAGTTATTAAAATTCATCTTTTGGGGAACATGGATAGCTGTGGCACATTTAATGACAGTCTGTCCAAGAAATGTCAAGGCATTTCACTCCTAAACACAAATTTCAACATGCATGTATAATAAAGTGGCTGTTGACTGTAGGTTTATAACTTAAAAGTAATTCAGGAAAAACTGAGAATACTGTGGAAGGAATGTCTTGAACAGTATCTCATTTAACATAAATTTTTAAACCCCCAAACATTCATCGTTTGGGGGTTTAAAACACCAGGTTCAGGGCTTACTTAGTCCCTCAGACCTCGTTTGTATCCTTATTTGATGCAGATTAGACAAATATAATCTGGAATAACCGAATTGAGCCAGGCTGCTGCTGCTGCTGCTGCTGCAGCAGGTTAAAACATGTGGGTGTCCTGCAGAAACCAGGATTATTGTGGACCAAGGAGTGCACAGTTTACATCAGTTAGTCTACTAGTCTTCTGTTAATCTATTAATCATTTTGCTTCACTATTGTCTTGCTGTCTCACTGCCTATAAATGTTTTTGTTTATAGTGTACATGTGTTCTGCACACGGTGTCTGAGCCTTTCATTTACGCCTGTTTGTTAACGCTGTCTTGTGCACTAAGAGCAACGAACAATCCAGAGTCAAATTACTAGGCCGTGTACACAAACCTGGCCATATCTTTACAAAGTTTAATTTGAGCTTTAGACTTTGGTGTTAGGGTTAAAGTTATGGTTAAATTAAAGCTGAGTTAGATATAAGATATAGATTAAGATATGTAATATGCCAATGAGAGTGTTTTTATTTCTATTGTGGGCAGTATTGGGACAACATTTGGTAAATAGAAGGTTGTGCATTTATTTTTGTGTTAGATATAGATAAGGTTACAATGGAGCTTAAGTTGGGGTACAAGCAGTTGGTTTGGACAAGTAGTGGTTGGGATTGAGGTTGTGGTGAACCTCCAGTCAATGAATGTAAGTCAATATAGTGCCTTAGTGGTTTTGTGCAATTGAGGGAAAAATGCTTTTAGGAGGCTAACAAAGAGGGTGACCCTCAGACAGCTTGAGGTGAAACTGTATTTAATGTTCAATGAGTAAACTGTTAAGGCTGCCACCACCCCCACCTGTATTTGCCTGTGCTTTTAAGTAGGCTATCTTATGCTGAGCAGGTTGTGCAAGCCCACGCGGAGGATTGGCTGCACAAGGAGAGAAGGTCCCGCCTACTTCCTGGGTTTCCAGTTACCATGCCCTCGATTGGTGCGGCATGCTCTACGGGCCAATCAGATGGAGACCGTGACGACCACCACCTGCTTAAAAGCCTGCCGGGTCTGCCATTCGGGGCAGCAATTTGACCTGAGTTGCTTGCCTTGGGAATGCCTGTTGTAGAGCTTATAGTAGTGTTTTGTAACCTGTGCTAGACTTTGTGTCTTGACTTTGTGTGATTCACTGGGTGAAGGTAAGAGAGTGGGCCAGGGCTAAGCTTAGCTATCACTGACACCTTTCTTGCACACACCATAGTTGTTTTATGTTAGTTTTCATCAGGCTCAGGGGTGCTGTGCGTTTTGTGTTGTGTTTTTCAAATGCCGTAGGTTAGTGAGCTTTTGGTTTATTCTTGTTTTGTTAGTATCTCTGTAAGCAGTGATCCTCCTTTTGAGGATCTCCTTTTGTTATAATTGTTTGTTGATTTCCACAGCACCCATTGGCCCATCCTCTGTTTGTGCTCCACTTGCATTATTTCAAATAAATACCCTTTCAAACCAACAACATCTGGTTTATGTTTATGTCCCTATATCCCTAGACACCTCGGGACGTAACAAAACTTTAACAAAACAACAATAGATCCTGAGTGGTTGATAAGATTGCTGATCAGTAAACTCATTGATTAGGAGCATTTTAAAACTCACCATTAGGACTGTTCCTACTTTACTTCTTCCTTTTAATATAGCCTAAATGAGACTTGAGCTATTATTGTCTGCTAATTTAGCGGGATATGAGGTGTGAAGAGGCCCTGTGCTGTTGCA